CTGTTCGTAATATACAGACGCTTGTTGCACTTGTAACAGAGCAGGCAGGCCAGGTGCGCTACTGCTACCTTTGTTTTTTGCCAAACGGGCCTAAAATCCAGAAGCCTGTCGTTCTGATACAAAAGCTCATCGTCGATCAGTGCGTACTTTTGATGTACGTAATATTGATAGCACTTAGAGCAGACGCGTCGGGTGTACAGTTCATTAGTTAGCACGGCGCTAGATGGAATCTGAACGATGTGGTAAGAAAGAACGGCAGTGACGGTGAGAGGAACAGCCTTTGGAGGACCAGGCCGGTGTTCGGCGGGCGTGCAGCCACGCTGCGGACGGCGCGTAAAACAACTACAAAGTCGCTGTGCAGCATTTACGCTGCTGGGTGCGGGTTGACATGGCTGGCTAATGGACGGCGCTACTGCCAATGTTGGGACGGTCGCGATGGCTTTGCGCGGCGGACCGGTTTGTGGTGGTTCGGGCTCGTCGGCCCCTGGGGGACACTTGGAGTTCATAAGGAACAAACGCGTAACTTCAACAGCACCAGCAATATGCGGCTAAGATGAGGCATCGCAGTCCACAACAACAACATTCATACACAGTAGCGAACGAACAGCATGAGATTGGCAGATGATTAGCGCTTTGCGTTGGTGTCTGGGTACTGGCGGAAGGTGCCATGTCCGTGCTCGCTAGGAACTGTGCTGCTTTTATGTACGGGCATTTTAAGTGGTGCGTTGAACGCGGCAAGTGTAGACTGTGCCTTGGATTTTGGGGTTTGGACGCGCGCGTCGGTCGAAGGGCAAATTTAAAATAACAGCTTCGAGAAATTGGAGCGCTGTTTTAACATTCTCAAACGCGTACCAATGGAGAGGGACGGGGAAAAATCGGTATCGCTGGTTGCCTGGGCCAAGGAGACGCTCCAAAAAACATACCACTTTTTGCGTATTTTCACTCGGAAGGGAAATCCCGCTGCTGAGCTCAGACGCACACAAGGCCCCTGACTCCGTAGTGATTCAGCCGGACTCAGTGGTGTTGAATGAAATGAAGGCCTCCGGGCTGTATATTCGCTGGCAAAAGCCCGGCGCCCGTCGTAAACGTGCCATCGACGCTCTCGGAGAACTGGGACGAAACTGGTTCGGAACAATGAGCGCAAGTGATCGCGTTCAAATTAACGATATGTTCGCCAATTTAGAGACAAAAATTGGCGCCTTAAAAACAGTGGCTGATAGACAACTAACTTTTGCTAATTTAAGTTTGACTAGGCTAACTATTCATGAAAATATGATTGCGAAATTGGCTGAGTTAGAAAAATTGGACTTACAAACTATGATGACCAACGTAGCGATGGTAAATGACTTTGCATCTTCTATGCGAACTATCCAAAGTGTCATATCAGAAGTGAGAACAGAAGTCCTTGCTTTCCTAACGGCTTATCAATTTGCATTTTCAGAGAACGCCCTCAGCCCAAATTTCATTGATGCAGACGTATTTTCAACCCTGTTAAAAGACCTGTCAAAGACCTTGCCTCCTGGCATCGTCTTGCCTGTTTATCCTTCTCATGCAAATATTGATTTTTACTATAAGAATGCAAAGGTAGTGCCAGTATTAACGGAGACCGCACTCCTATTAAATGTTCATCTCCCATTAGCAGTTTCGACACGCCGCTTTAAACTTTACGAGGCACAAGGATGGCCTCACAAAATTAACGACAGTGACATTTTCACTTACTATATGCCTGAAACGCAGTACTTAGCAGTTGACGAGACCCACAGCACTCACCTCCTTTTGACCCCGACTGACCTCAATGCCTGTGACTTCCGACAAGCCGGCGTCTGTCATCCTACGGTGGCAATACAGAAAAAGATGAGCTGCTCCCTGGCGCTTCTCCTGTCCAAAGAAGAGGATGTACGAGCGCTCTGCGAGCCCCACTACATCGTAAACCCGCGGCCAAGTTTTGTCAGTTTCCGCCAAGGAATGACATGGGCTTTCAACCTGCCCGAGCCGACCCGCATACGAATCGCCGACGTGAACGGTCACTACAAGAAGACCAACATCTCCGTCCTGGGAAGAAACGGTATCCTCCACCTTGAACCGTTCACCTTTGCCGAAATCGACGGAAAGGCGCTCTTCTCCGGGTCTACGTGGACAACGCAAGTGGAACTGCACAGCGACGTCGTCATCCCAGATTTGACAGTCCCTGTGCCAGTCCAGTTCCTGGCCAACAACTCAAGACGACTGGCGCTCATTCAAGAAATAACTGACGCCCTAGACTTATCGAAAGGACAAGGACTTGAACAAGGCGCCCGACTTTCGGAAATTCAGACGATTTTGAGCCAGCCTTACTGGTACGACTGGTTACGACCACTAAAAGCACACAACGTATGGGGTACAGTGATGTCGGTCATCGTCGTCTCGCTTTTAGTTTTGATTGTATATTGGAAATTATGCGGAAAACGGGTTACAACGGCTGTAGTTCAAAGTGCAGGCATACCTTTGTTGCCAAGATTCAATAGACAGCCCCGTGTTTAGCTGGCACTACTGCATACCTAGCCTAACCATACCTAATCGCTTTCTTTCAGCTTTGAATAACGCTGTCAATCTGTTGACAGGTAACATGGCGGCTTGTTAATTTTATGTACATTCTCTCACCAAAATTGTTGCTACCCAGCAGTCGACACTGGTACGCATACTGAATTCATGTTACCATCCCGATGTCAATAATGAGAGTTGTTATTGTAATGCGTATTTTTCATTAACCATCATTACAATAGGTTAAACAAACAAAAAAAAAAAATTGTCTCTTCTTTGGTAATGGTTGTTAATGAAACTTTAAAGATTTTTTTTTTGGAGAAGAAGGGAGGGGTGATGTACTCGGCAAGCATACACAACAGTGTATCTTCGCGACAGTGTAGGGTCCGGTCCAGGTGGACTGATAAATGTAATGAGACCTCCCTGGAGAGTGCCAAGGCGATAGCGATGCAACTTTGTAATGCACTTTATCGCAACGAGAGGCGAGGAGCCTGTATCCTTCCATCCTCCTCTTCCTCCGGTTCTCTCTCTCCACCTGCGGTCATCACCCCCTTTTGGTTGTGGGATTATAAGTACGAGTCCTGCGCCCTGCGAGGCCAGTTCGACTCCAGCCTCCGTCCACTCGCCACTGACCTGTACACCAGCCTGTGCCATGGCCTGTGAGTAAAGTGTAACTTCTCTCCACTGACTGTGTTCTCATTTACCCCTACACCAATGGTATTCCTCATAAACAGAACGAATACACAACGGTGATGTTTGTACAGTGAAAATAACATTTGACACAGCATGAGTCCTAAAATGCCAAATCTTGACCAACAAACATAAGTCCCATTTTCACCCTGTGTCCCAACATTACCCCAACTGACCCTCGATGGCGTGAAAAACATTCATCACACTCTCAGACTCGTATTGACTTTTTTCTCTCCATTATTGACATTTTGTCCTTTGCTTACGTAGTTTTTTAAGCAGCAATAACAGGTAGTATTTCTTTTGTAACCATGTACAATATTGTTCACTATAAAGACTAAATTGCACTGTAAAAAAAATTCTGAAATTTCAGTACAGTTTGTTCAGACTTTGCAGTCTGAATCGGTAATTCAGAAAGTTGCTTTGAATTTTCAGACTAGGAACTGTGAAATTTGAGATCACACCGGTTAGTCTGAATTTTAAGCAGAAGGTCTGAAAATTCTGATAAAGTTTTTAGACTTGTCATCCTGAAACCTGTTTTCATAATTTTGGTATGAAAATTTTGACAGATTGCCTACTAATCAAGTCTAGGCGTAAGGCGTTGTATAAATTTATCGGAAATAATAATGTACACCCGTCCTTCACGCAGATTCGTCTGTGTACGGTAGATTAACCGTAAGAGTTGTCCGAACTTGCATTCTGGACTTGCCGAAAGGAGCTGGTATCCTCTGAAGAGAGTCACGCGGCACGGCTTCCCCCGCCGCCAGGCAGCGCCCGTAGCGCAGTGGTACCGAGCTCGTCTCGTAACCAAAAAGTCCCGGTTCGAACCCGGGCCGAAGCGAACAAGTGAAAAGGGGAAAGGAGGTACCGTCACACGTTGGTGGTTCATATTGTTCTCTTGTTGATTTCTTTCTCTTTGATTTATAGATGGCACTTTTATTTAATATTGCAGAGAAGCAGTCTGAAAATGTTTTTCAGAAAAGTAGTCTGAATTTGGAATTCAGACAGAATGGTCTGAATAATTACTCTGAATTTTCAGACCACTAGTCTGTTTAAAAACTTCAGACTAAAATTATGAAATTTCAGTAATACTTTTTTTACAGTGTGTCATCAATTATTGACTATTTTGTAAGTCAATTGCGTATTAACTCTTTGTCAATAGCAAATTGACTGTATGTCAATATAACGAACCAAATTGAGCCAAATCCTACATAAATATTGAGGAAATAGTACTTTTTATTGCTGTGTAAAATACTCTTTAACAAAGGACAAAAAGTGAATAACAGTCTGAGAGTGCACGGAACAGACGCTCCGGACTTTGCAAGAGTTCAGAAGACCTGAGTGAGGCGGTCGTGACCAGTCCGAAGATCGTCACTCTCCCGCATGAAGCCGAGGAAGTTCTGCAACTCCCGCCGCAGGTAGGGGTGCTTCCTGTTGAGCTCGAAGTACGTCTGCATCCTGGCCGGCGTGGACTTCCACACCTCCGCGAAGGCCGGGTCCAGGCGGTCCCAGAGCCGCTGCGGCGCGGCGCGCCCCGCGGTGACGGCGCCGTCCTCGCCGCGCGCCCCGACGACGGAGTGGGGGGTGTTCTCCGTCTTCCTGGTCAGGAGGTACCCGACGAGCAGGCCGACCAGCAGCAGGGCACCGCCGTCGCGCTTGCGGCGGCTGAGCGCCTCGCCCTGGCCGTCGCCGCCGCGGCCCCCGCGGCCGGCCGCCCCCTCCGACACCTCCACGATGAAGTGCTGCAGCGCGTCGCCGCGGCCCGCCAGCGCCACGCCGCCGACCACGCCGCCAAGGCCGCCCGCGCCGCCGTCGCCACCGCCGCCGCTGCCCGCGCCGCCTTCCTCGCCGACGCCGCCCGCGCCGCCCTTGGCGCTGACGCGCACCTTGTTGCCGGCGAAGTCCATCCCCACGGCCAGGAGCACGCCGCCGGGGCCGCCGGGGTTCCCCGGCCTGCCGTCGTGGCCGCGCTCCCCGCTGCAGTTCGCCGCCGGCGCGCTGCCCAGCGGCTCGCCGTCCTCGCCGTCGAGGTTGATCGTCGGCGACCCCAGGGTCTCCCACCGCGGCGCCGCCACCACCAGCGGCACGCTCGGCAGCCTGACGGTGTCGTCGACGAACACGGTGTTGAGGGCGTACACCTCGAGCAGCTGCAGCGGACCCGCGCAGCTGTTCCTCGCCGCGGCCACGGCCTCGGACAGCAGCACCGTCTCACCCTCAACGACCGCGTGGCCGCCGCTGGGCAGGTCGCCGACGCAGCGCGTCTTGGGGCCACGGCTCGCCGTCGACACCACCGCCGCCACGTCGGACAGGTTCTGCCCCGTCGCGGCGAAGGCGGCCAGCGCCTCGGCCTCCGCGGCGAACTCCGGCAGCTCCACGAAGGACGAGGACGGGAACGGTGTGCTGGACGAACGGCGCTGCAGCTGGAAAACGAACAGGGCATCCGGGTCAGTTGCAGAAAGAAACAACAAAACCGTTAGCTGATAAGTCAAAGTCGCAAATTTGTACGGGAAGTTCGTGTGCGGGAAAAACGGTGCACTGCAGGAAATAACCACAACAAAAGTACACAAATTTCTGGCAAATTTTTTATCAGGTTTTTATTGTACTTTCAAAGTACAACAATTGTTGTACAAAGTACAATGGAAACGGCATGACGAGTGCTGGGCAGTCCCGGCCTCGTTGTGGTTTGTACAATTCCCGTTGTACTTTCTACAATCCCTGTTGTACTTTTATTGTACAGTTTTTGTTGTACATTTGTTGTACTAATCACACTTTTTCTTGCAGTGTGGTGTTTCGTACAAAATTTGTGCGAAAGCATTTAGGGTGTAACACATGAGGTGTAGGAAGGAGCGAGGCTCACCTGCACGGGGTACGAGTTGAACCGTTGGTACAGGGACAGCAGGAACGAGTGCCACTCCTTCTTCTCCTTCAGGTACTCGGTGACGGAGTCCATGGGCGCTGCCCAGGTGGTCGCCAGGACGGCGTGGTCCACCACGGGCTGCTCGCTCACCACCTGCAGCACGTCCAGGATCGCGCACTTGTCGGCCAGCTGGACGCTGGAGTCCTCGGGGACGGCCACCCGCAGGCAGAACTCCTGGAACACAGAGGGAGGCGCTCTTTAAATGGCGGGACAAAGTGGGCCGGAAGACCAGCGCCGGCGGCCAAAACTCCACACGCGTTTTGAGCTCCAGAGTCGCTAACTGGGACTCGAACCGAACGTGTGACCCCACCAATGGATCGCTCTCCGAGCGAGGAATCCATTGGTGGGGTCACACGTTCGGCACACGGGGTCACACGTTGGGTTCGAGTCCCATTTAGCGACTCTGGAGCTCAAAACCCGTCCGGAGTTTTAGACGCCTCCAACGGTCTTCTGGAACAGGGAGGGGAGCGTGGGAGAAGGAAACAGACGTGGAAACAGAGGCCGACAGCACTGATAAAAACTTTGTCACAACTCAGCAACACATTTATTGCTAATTTTTTTTGACAACAAGATTTGATGTGGAACAAATAGCTTGCCAAACCATAATCGTACTGGAACTAAAGGATAGTATAATTGTAATAACACATCAACAGTCCACCTTCAGAAACAAAGTCACTGGCTAACAACAAATGTTGTTAGTCAACAACAAGTATTCGAAGTAAAAAAAGATTTTGTGATGTCTTCAAAAGTATTCGTTGAGCACTTTTGTCGCTAAATTTTTTTTTCATGGTTCTACTTTTAAAAATAGTCATTTCCTTACGACTTAAAAGAACGAAATGTTCAAAATATACTTTAATTGAACAGATAAAAGCAAAAAATGTTGTTTCCACACAAGGTGTGTTGTTAATGGTGATAGCAAGAATTTTGTTCTTCAACGACAATTTGTCGCTTACTAGACTCAACACCATATGTTTCGCTTTGGTTCATGATGACATTCTATGTTTTGGAACGACTAAATTTTCACTCATCTCTTGATTTTACTTCAAACCTGTCTAATTGCTACACTTATAAATGTATACTTGCAAGAACACGCTCACAAATTTACTGGACACTCAATAAGTTCATGCTTACAACTGCATTCTTGGCATCGTAACTACACGCTACGCATATCGCATATGCGCTTGTAAGTGTGAACTTGGCAAAGCCTGAATTAGAAAGGGTGGACATGGCCTGAGAGTGTGTACTTCGTAGTTGTCGAGGGGTGCATTACTTAGCGTTCTGGTGTACACATGAGTACATGAGTACGGGTGAGTACACCTTAAAAAACTCGTAAATTTCACATTTTTAAACGTCTAAAGGAACTAGCGAATTTTGCTAAATTTAAGCTCGTGAGTACGTACACTCAGTGCGGGCTGATTTGTACACATGAGTACACCAGTGATTCACCCCTCGGTAGTTGTACTGTTGGCATGGAACCACCCCGTACCTTGACGTCGGTGCTGTTCTTGAGGTGCCGGGCGACGTCGGCGGCCTTCTTCTCCAGCTCGGCGTACCTCTCCTGCGAGGCGCGGATGTCGCTGGGGTCGTAGGCAGAGGCGGACTGGTTCTTGGCGGCCTGGCCCAGCACCCCCAGGGCGGCCACCACGTCCTCGTTGAGCTGCTGCACCCTCCGCAGCGCGAACACCTTGGTGCGGGCCGACACCGAGAAGCCGAAGTCGCCCTGCTGCACGTCGGCGTACCTGCGCACAGTGGGCCGGAAGACCGGCGGAGGCGGTCACAACCCCGAACGGATTTTGAGCTCCAGAGTCGCTAAATGGGACTCGAACCGAACGTGTGACCCCACCAATGGATTGCTCTCCGAACGATGAATCCATTGGTGGAGGTCACACGCTCGGTTCCAGTCCCATTTAAGGTTACTGTAAAGTGAAAAAATGTGAAATATCAGTTTCCAAAATAATTGTGGTATCATGTTTGTATTTAGGTTTCAGGTTGCTTACTATAAGATGAACTTAAACCCAAAGTTGAGGCACTCAACTCCCATTATTTTCTGAGTTATTGAAGTTTACGTAACAAATTTAGTCGTTTACTAAAAATTCTCCTTGCGATGAACCAAAAGTTGTCGAGACTTGATTTTTGTTTTACAAGTTCTTTATTGATTTGCCTATCTCGTAGCAAAGCCGGATTTCCAAAATTCCAACATGACATAGGAATTTTTCTCAAAAAACACATAAAAACACCAAAAAATACCAAAATTTACCAAATTGGAGTAAAAAAAATTCAAAACGCATTTTCCAAACAGAAATTACAGCTAATCTATGCATATATTGTCAAATCTGGCTTTGCTAGTCTGTTTGCATGTCCATTGGCCCGTAAAATAAAAAATCACACCTCCGTAAACTTTTTGGTTCATCGCAAGGAGAATTTTTAGTAAACGACTAAAATAACACTAAAACCCTCATAACTTTGGAACTAATGGGAGTTGGGAGTCCAGTCTGTGGGTGTAAAAGTTTTTCATAGTAAGCAACTAAATCACCAAAAACCAAAGCACTGCCACCTATACTTTGGAAGATAGTTTTTTCACCTTACAGTAACCTTAACGACTCTGGCGCTCCAAGCGCGTGGGCCAAAGACCGGTGGAGCACTGGTAAAACTAAAGCGTAGTATTACCCCCTGTTTTCAAGCGTAATCAGGTTACGCTTGAAATCAAGCGTAACAGGCCCAACCGCCAAGATTCCACCAATCTAAATGCATGGGGGAATTTCCAGAGTATGCTTCATTTCAAGCGTAACGTCTTCAAGCGTAACTTTATGCTTGACTCAAGCATAGAGTTACGCTTTGGTTTTACCAGTGAGGCGGCCAAACTTCTAGACGCGTCTTGAGCTCTACAGTCGCTAAATGGGACTCAACCGAACATGTGACTACCAATGGATTGCTCTCCGAGCGATGAATCTGTTGGTCTGTCTCCACCATTGGATCCTTCGGTCAGAGAAATCTATTGATCCCTCGTCGCTGTTACTCTCACTCACGGAGCGTCTCGTACACTGGTAACACTCAAGCGTACAATTACGCTCCGAGACTGTACGCCCTTCTTGAAGCGTACAACTACGCTTCAAGGCAATACTCCCATGCATTTAGATAGGAAGAAAGGAGCGCATGAACTCGTATACGCTTGAAAAAGGGCGTAATAGTACGCCTTAGTTTCACCAGTGTAAGGGTGCGAGAGAGACATCGACAAAGGCAGCGCTCGGAATGGGCCAGATCGTAGCGGACTCACCCGAGGCCCTGCACCAGCTCCAGCAGCTCGGCGCGGCCGTTCCGCATGATCTCAATGTCGCCCAGGGCGCCAACCTCGTCGGGGGCGTGGAACAGGCCGATGCGGCTGACACGTCCGTGGCGTCTGGTTTCCACTCCGCCGAGGAGGAGGATGTCCACGATCTTGACGGCGTTGCGGAGCTCTGTCCGCTCCTCCTGCTGCACGCTCGAGTCCTCGGCCATGGCGGCGAGGAAGGGGCGCACCTCGCGACTCAGGAACGCCTCCACTCCACTGCGCACGTCGCTGTCTGGCGCCTTGACGAGGTCGGAGGACACGCGGCCGTAGCCATCGTAGTTGTTTCTCTTCACCACGGGGGCTTCAACCTTGTGGGTCAGAAAACAGGTTGGTGCGTTCAGAATCCCGGACGCGTTCAGGGCTTGTGTCGGCAAAGTTATCGCACCTGACCCTGGGCCGGACTCCGGTACAAGTGCCGGACGCGTTTTGAGCTTCAGAGTCGCTAAATGGGACTCGAACCGAACGTGTGACCCCACCAATGGATTGCTCTCCGAACGAGGAATCCATTGGTGGGGTCACACAAGCTCCGTTCGAGTTCTGTTTAGCGACTCTGGAGCTCAAAAGGCGTCTTCAAGTTCGGCCACCTCCACCGGTCTGTACATACCTTGGTCACTACCAGCGCCAACGACTGCTGCAGCTTGGCCGGGTCCTTGAGCACGCGCGCGGCGTGGCGCAGCATCGTCAGGAAGTCGCTGCGGTCCTGGCCCTTGCGCACGGCGAAGTGCGGCGCCAGCAGCAGCACCTGCAACGCACTGTCACTCTGAAAACCTTACAAACTATTTTGGGCCAACTCAACGTAGAAAGCTCTGCGATGAAATATATTTGTAAGCTACAAACAAATTTGTTCGCGCCATACAAACTTTTTCTGCGAAGAAAACAATTCGCAGTCACATATGAATTTCTGGGCAACTTCAAATTCATTTCTTTGTAACTTGGGTGACGAACAAATTTGTTCACACCATACAAACTTATTTTACAAATAAAACAATTTGCAGTTAAGTATGAATTTCTTGGCAACTTCAAATATATTTCTTCGCAACTTGGGTAACGAACAAATTTGTTCGCACCTGACCAACTAATTTAACATATAAAACTATTCGCAGTCTCATATGAATTTCTGGGCAACTTCGCATAAATCTCTTTGCAACTTTGGTAACAAACAAATCTAAACGCACTTCGCAAACTTATTCTAAGAATAAAACAATTTGCAGTCACACATGAATTTCTTGGCAACTTCAAATAAATTTCCTCATCACTTGGGACTCAATTTTATTAGTAAAGTGGTTTTCATCATTTTGACAACCAAATGATATGGTACAAATGTATAACTATTTATCTTAAAATTTAAGTTCTTCTAAAGCGTGTTATCATCACGTTCTTATTAAAAAATGGGGGTCATTTGTTCTTTGCAATGTGAACACTCTCCTCAAAGCTCTTTCGAGTGAACAAAAAGGTGGAGTTTGGGGCTTCTCCCCCCCCCCCCCCCTTTTGAAAAGCACCTGGATAGCCACCTGATAGGCAGGTAAATAGTGCTACTTTGCTCCCCCCAAAGGCCTCCCTGGATCCACCACTAGACACTGCGGCAAAAAGTACTGAAAATTCTGTTCGTTTTTTTGACAAGATTCCCAGTAGCCCTCTTGGCAATAATCTCCGTAGGACCTTACAGTATTCTCCGTAGGACTATAAGACTGTAAGGTCCTATGGAGAAGCCTGTGCGTGCGGTCCTACGGAGAACAATGTAAGGTCATCCTTTGGAGAATATTGCTAAGAGGGCTCACAAGTTGTTAACAGAATTTTCCGTGGCTTTTTGACACAGCGGAAAAGAGACACCTCGCTCGTGGCTCCTACCTTGACGCGGCGCGCGTGCCGGGCGATGTCCTTCATGTAGTAGGTGGTGGTCACCTCGCTGCAGGGCCCGCGCGTGTCCTCGAAGCCAGGGCAGTCGAAGTAGTTGGTGGCGGTCTCGTTGTCGTGGAACAGCTCCGGCACCGACGTCACCGAGGCGATGCTGCCGCCGATGCCGTCGCCCTCGATGAAGAACTCGCCGTTCTCGCGCACGGCCTTCATGTCGCCGTCGTGGCGCGACAGGTGCTTGGCCAGCGCCGACTTGCCGGACCCCGAGTTGCCCAGGACCAGCACCACCTCCTCGGGCACGGCCAGCACCGTCGCGGGGGCGGCGTACTGGGACAGGCACTGCGAGAACAAATCAAGGCGCATCAAGTGTTTACGTGCACTGAGAAAACCTTACCAACTATTTTGGGCCTTACAAAGAAAAGCAGCAAAGTATTTTGAGCATACAAAGCTTGCAAAGAAACTACTTCGTAATTTACGAACTATTTCCTCGTATAAACAAAGTATATTAGTTTGTTATATGTATGCTCAAAATACTTTATGTACTATTTTCTCTAAACTGTGCACAATTTTGATCGTTTCAAAGATAAAATTGTCAATAGATCACGTAGAAGTTGGACAGTACGTTGCAAATGACAAAAAGTCAGTCAAAATACATTATGCAATTTACAAAATAGTGCATAGCTAAAGCGGAAATAGTACGTATTATGTTTGCACAATTTTTTTTTTTGGCAAGATATAAAATGTCAATATTACGAGACTGGGGGAGCACAAAAGCGCACAAGTTGCTGCAAAAAAGAAAACAGACCACATTTTCGTGCTTGTCAGCTACGAACGAGATTGTCGAGCATTTAGAAACTTATGCTCCATTTCGTACACAGCTCACTCAGCACCACAAAAATGTAAGTGGTAATTTCGTGTGTTTGGTCGACAGTGAGCTGCTGGTTACTTTGAACAACTTTACTTACGTCTTCGCCGTCACGAGAAACAACCTGCTCTCCATTTGAAGTCTGCGAGCGCGCGTGCCGCAGCAGCAGCGTCGCCACTGCAACCGAACATGTTTTTTTTTCAAACTTCGCACAGAATAAGTCGTTGTGAAATCCCATCAACCAATTTATCTATCCGGAAAAGATGTTCCAAAAAAAGAAAGTTGACTTCTGCCGGTATACCCAGGAAATCTGCGTTTCCCTGGAAATCTGTTTTTTTTTTTTTGGAAATCTACCGCGTTTCCCAAGAATGTTGACTTTATTTTTCCATCAGGGGCCCAGACGAGTAGTACTTACGGGCGACAAGTAGAACTTCTCGCAACGCCATCGGAAACTGCCTCAGCAGGCTTGCCTTGCGTAGCGCCGGTCCAAGCCAACCTTGGATAAGAGAAAGAGAACAATGTAACGACACTGGTGAAACTGAAGCCTAGTATTTCCCTACGTTTTTAAACGTAATCAGTTTACGCTAGAAATCAAGCGTAACGGACTGATGTGCTGAGATTCCTCCTATGCATGGGGGCATTTCCAATCGAAGATTCATTTCCAGCGTAACGTCTTCAAGCGTATTTTCATGCTTGTCTCAAGCCCAGAGTTGCGCTTTCTTTTCAGCAGTGAAGGATTACAACTTATAGGACTGTTGCTAAACGTTACGAATCATTGGAGCAACGAGAAACAATTTCAGATAATTTGTACGCCAAAATTCATAGACAATGTAGAGTTTTAACTTGCTTTTAAAAAAAAAAATTGAAATTGAGGCGAAATTCTTCTAAAACTAGTGAAGTTTGCAATTAAATTGAAGGAAATTTTACTGAAATACACTTATAAACATCCAATTTTCATGTTGAATTCGAAAATTTGTACACAACTTCAAAGTCATGTCTGCTTGCCGAGGAGGCAGCAGTGCGAGGGGCTCAACACTCGTGTAATACCCGGTATATATGACGCGTAATTGTAATACCATTTTTGGCCAAATGTGCCAAATTTTGGCATTTTAAAGCCGTAATACACATGTGATATCCCCGTAACACAGCGTAACACCGCGTAATACCGAGTACTCTGTACACGATCTCTTGGAGTGTTTAGCCCCTCGCAGCCGTGCCTGTGTACTTACGGGCAAAAATCGCCTCACTCCCTGCCTTCCTACTCTCTGGACGAACTGCACTGTGCGTTGCTGCTCTGCTCTCGCTCGGCTGAGGGTTGCCAGTGCCAGTGCGAGACGAGGCCGAGTAGAGGGCGGCCGAAGCACAAGCGCAGCCGCGCCGCCTGAGAGGCACCCGACTTCACCCGAAGCACTCGCCACGCCGTGACCCGAAGCCGCCCGAGGAGCGTCCGGGAAATTTCCCGCAAGGACACTATACTTGATTGGCTCACGGGCACGGGGAACCCCTTGCCCAGAAATCCCGCTCCACTGCAAGAAAAAAAGTGCATAGCACAACAAAAGTACAACAAAAACTGTACAATAAAAGTACAACAGGGATTGTAGAAAGTACAACGAGAATTGTACAAACCACAACGAGCCCTGGACGGACGGCACAGCACTCATCATGCCGGCTCCATTGTGCTTTGTACAACAATTGTTGTACTTGAAAAGTACACTAAATTCCTGATAAAAAAATTTACCAGAAATTTGTGTACTTTTGTTGTGGTTATTTCCTGCAGTGTCCCGGAGAAAGATTTTCACAGTGGTGAACCAGATTACTTACACCTTTTTACTGTGCATAAGCTATGCACGACTGTCCATGCTTTTCAAAATGCACGAAACTGTGCATTTTAAAACGCACGCACAGTTTCGTGCATGTCTTATGCAGTAATTTAGTGTGTTGACTAGTTTGAATCCATTGCGTTCGAGTCAAATTTAGACGTGTCCGGGAAGATCCAAAACCACGTGGCCTCTCTCACAATGCAAACGCTATGAGTTCAGAGTAGTCCATGGGTGCAATGTATTTGAACCCTACACTGTAAAAAAATTCCGTACTTTTGTACGGAAAATGTACGGAACGTCCGTACTTGTCCCATAAGAACTCATGTAATCGGGTATACGGAAAAAAGTACAGAAGTTCCGTAGTAGGACAGTCCAGGCAGTGGCGTGCGCAGAAAATTAGAAAAGGGGGGGGGATCAGGCCACGCTTTTTGCCTACTTACAGGGGGAAAGTGACGAAATTTGCCTACCTTTCAGGCGGCTGTCTAGTGGCCAAAGGGGGGGGGGTCATGACCCCTCTGACACCCCCCCCCCCCCCCCTTGCGCACGCCACTGAGTCCAGGCAAATTATTGACCAGACATGTTCCGTACTTTTTCTGTACAGTCGACTCCCGTTAGCTGGCACCCCTTGACCATTCGATAGTTGGCACGGAGTCATCCCCACCACCTCGGCCCGGGCAGTGCCCGGCCCAGCCCGGCCGAGGGTCTTGCAGGCCGGCGAGGGATTACCGGCGGCTTAATCCCCTCGCTTTCGTTAGTTGTCCAACGCGCCTCCCGGTTGCCCTGCCAGCTAACGGGAGTCGACTGTACTTTTCTCTGGAAGTGATTGCACGTACGTGCGCGATGTCTCACTGTGAAACAGGATACTAAGGATGAAATAAATGAATATGAATATGCATCGCACCTTACTTGTACGAACATATGTCCACATTTCGTTCGCTTTCTCAGTGCAGGCAAGCCTGGCGCGGCTGGAGCGAGAATGACTGCCGATAGCAAAGCTGACAGACAAAGAGTATAGAATAAACATACAAACTCGACTTTGGGTCAGGGATCCCTCTGTTTGTCAACGACAAAAGTGTCGAGAAGATAATGATGAAGTGCAGAGGAACCCAGCGCAGCCAGAAATACAGTGGCGCGGCGAGAACTGCGTCCAGATATGTACACCAAATTCGTCCGATCACTCCAGCGCACAGGTTAGCCGCGACAAGGCCCCAACTATTTCGAGCGTGCACTAGATTACGGAGTTACAGGAATTTCACAAAGAATTACCCGTTAAATTTTTAAAAGAGTGCAAGCTAGCAGACACCTTATAGTGTTTGATATTCTTCTATTGTGTATGTTAAATTGGATGTGTAAAGGTATAATCTACTCAACACTGGGTCTAAAACGTGACAAATGGTAACATTTCGTCAAAGATCACGATGTTGTATCGGTCTGAACATCGGTTTTTTTTTAACTTCAGTGGGCTCATTTCGGAAGAAGAGTTATCCCCACCACATTCGCCGACATTGGCTCGGGACGGGCAAGCGACCCCAGGCCTGCGGGCCTGCCCGCACCCGTCCCGGGGCTGCCCGCTCCAGGTAGGGATGGATTACAGTGGAGGCCTAGCAGTGTGTTTCAAAAAATTACCCTAAAATTCAAATCGACTGACTGGGTTACGGTAATTTCCGTTTGTTCAAAAAATTGCCATAACTCGGTCACAAAAAAAGGAATTTTAAGATTCTTTTTGATACATTTCTGCTTGGTTTGAAACAGGTAAACGTTGTAATGACTGAGTATAAAATGATTGAACGAAAATTGCATCTTCAAACTTGAAGCGGCCCGGCGGATTTCGCCGTAGAACTCGAACAGAACGTAGGATCCCACCTATGGATTGCTCGTTCGAAGAGTAATTAATCTATTGGGGCCACACGTTCGGATCGAGTCCTATTAAGGGGAGGTTCTGGTGAAAATCTTGCCATTTTCGAAATGGATCCTACAGTCATAATTTGTTCGGGATATAAAATTTTTCATTGGGGAGACTAAAATTTGACTTTTGAAGGCACATGCCAGGCTGTTAACCCAGTCGAAGAGTCTTTTTGAGCCTATTTTGGCTGTATCTTAAAAAATCTCCTTGCGCATACTATTTTGTCGTAAAAGGTTGACCTTGACATTTTTCACTTCTTCGACTCATTTTCAAAAGATTCCGGCATGCATAGCTCAAAACTTCCATTATATTATTAATTATTAGCTTTTTAAGCTGAAAAGTCCCTAAAATTTGTCTATTTTGTACATTTTTGATCAATTTTAGTGAAATGCTTGGTTAGAAAGCTTGCGAATAAAAATTCAATTGACATTTTGAGATGCGCATGCCGGCATTTTTAAAAAATGAATCGAAGAAGTGAAAAATGTCTAAGCCAACCTTTTACGACAAAATAGTATGCGCAAGAAGATTTTTAAAGTTATAGCCTAAATGGGAGAAAAAGGCTCTGCGACTGGATTCAGGGCATAGAACGTGCCTCCCCAATGAAAAATTCTAATAAATACTTGATAAGACATTAAATTTTTAACAAATTTTCACAGTGGGACCTATTTAGGAGAAAATAGCATTTTCACCAGAACCTCCCCTTAAGTTTATTGTAAAGTGAAAAAGTGGCTATTTGAGATTTTTTTTAAGTACTTGTGTCTGATGTCTCAATTTCTGGATAAAATTTTCTTTCTTTTGCATCAACTCATACACTAAGACTAGGGCCCCAACTCCTATTGGTTTCTGAGTTATGGAGGTTTACATATACTTTTAGTCGCTTCTCCCAAATTCTCCTCACAACAAAGGATTAACTACCCAGTCTTCAGATTCTGGCAATTTCATCTATTTTTGAATAGGAAAAAGATAGCGTTGCCCTTTTTTGAATATCTGCCTTAGTTTTCCTGAAAAACCGAAAACAAGAGCAAAATAGGGCAAAATCTCTCAAATTTGAAGAAAAATTAAAATAGGCCTGGTAAAATAGCTTTAACAGCCTCTTCGAGACTGACAATTTCAAATCTGCCAACGCTATCTTTTTCCTATTCAAAAGTAGATATAATTGCCAAAATCTGAAGAGTGGGTAGGTATTCCTTTGTCGTTAGGAGAATTTTGGAAAAACGACTAAAAGTTTACGTAAACCTCCATATCTCAGAAACTAACAGGAGTTTGGGCACCCAACTTTGGGAACCAATTCATCTAATAGTGGTTTAATTTTGACCACAAAATGAGCTTCCTGTGACAATTTTTTCTAGGACACTCTAGTTTCACTTTGCAGTATGCTTAAGCGATTCTAAGCTCAAAACGCGAGGCGGTATGCACTCGCGTCACAGTCGGTTCACTCTATCTGTAATAGGACGCGTAATAATACGCGTAATAGCCACGTTATATCCCAAATTCTGAAATTTTTACCAATTTTGGGGTGTTTTGAGGAGGTTTTTTTAGCTAAATTCTGATTATTAGGAGGCGTAATATAGCGTAATAGTCGGGTCACAGGTTTATAGAGTGCATACCCCCTCGTCAAAACGCGTGTAGACTTTCGGCCGCCAGCGCTTACTGTGCGTTCCAGCCGCAGTGGAGGGAGGTCTCCCTCCGCCGCGATTCCAACCGACGCGGTGCTCCGCGCGAAGGCGCCGGAGGGAATTACCGATCTTCGACTTTCCCTTCCGAAATCGAAAGACTCGGGCGCCATCTCGTGGCGCCTAGGTGCACTTACCATTTGATTGCAGAAGTCGAAACGCCAGTCAGTCAGGGTGAGACCCAGCGGGCGAAGCAGCACGGAGTAGAGCAACCTCCGTGGAAGCAGGAAGAAAAGAAGACTGTGCGTCCCGTCGCAGTCGTCACAGTCACAGTCCTGCTTTGGATAGCCGGGGCCGAAGTACTCGAATTCCGCTCAGCCTGCACAGGAAGAGAAGAGAATCACTACTCAACTTGGACCACAGCTTGACGAGGTGAGCAATTCTAAAACATTCTTACCAGTAGGTTTTTTTTTTTCTCTCTTAGTTGCTTACTATTATATGAAGTGAAACCCTTTGCTAAGGCCCCTAACTTCTCTACGGGTTTGTAAGGTGTGAAAATGTTTGAAAACGTTGCGTGAGATATTATAATTGGCTGTGAGCGTGAGCACACACAAGTTTGAACATAGGCAAGTTATATTTCGGTAGCAACATTTGCGATTCTTAACGCCGTTGTGCCTACGTACGTAGAACTCAGTGACAATTAATATTTTTCTATACTTGATTCAGGAGTCTCACTTTGAGGTTGAAAGTTCCGGCTTGTCACGCAAACTTTCCTATGGTGAAGTTACCCTGCAGGAAATAACCACAACAAAAGTACACAAATTTCTGGCAAATTTTTTATTAGGTTTTTATTGTACTTTCAAAGTACAACAATTGTTAAGTACAATGGAACCGGCATGACGAGTGCTGGGCAGTGCAGGCCTCGTTGTGGTTTGTACAATTCTCGTTGTACTTTCTACAATCCCTGTTGTACTTTTATTGTACAGTTTCTGTTGTATATTTGTTGTACTATTCATACTTGTTCTTGCAGTGTAGTGCAACTTATTAATTTCTGAGTCTTGAGCATACATATAACAAACTAAAATACTTCGTTATACGAAGAAATAGTTCGTAAATTACGAAGTATTTTCTTTGTAAGCTTACGTATGCTCAAAAGACTTTGTTATACAAACTACTTTTCTTTGTGAGGCCCTAAATAGTTTGTAAGGTTTTCTCAGTGTAAAAAGTTGACTTTTCTAAGGGGAAATTTTTAACTGTGGCTAGAATTTCATTTTAAGGATTCAATGGTCGAGGCTTATTACTGTTTACTTTGACGTGAGGAGACTTATCAGAGGAACGACTGAAATATTACGTGAATCTCAGTGACTCATAATATTAGGCCTCCAGCTCTGGGAGTGGAAATCTCCTGCCCGTTGAAATTTCTTTTATCGTTGTTTTGAAGTGTAACTTCTTATTACGTTTTAAACTAGCATGACAATTGTTCAGTACTTACCCCAAAAGGGGCTTCCATCAAGTATGTGACGCAGGTTCGTGCATATTTTGACCACCACCGCCAATAGGGTACTTTCGTAGATCCCTGAACCGGAAGCACACAGACGCCATGTTGGCGGAAGTAGATCCAAACTTGACATGGGAAAGAGACGTTCGTCAAAGGTATCGGCCACACTTGAACATAAACAGTCGTTTGATACTTGTTTGCAGTGCATATGTGTTTCGCGAGCAATATTTGTACAGCTCGGCTATAGTTTTGGATCCGAAGAGAGGTTAGTTTCCGGCCAATTTGGCGTCTGCTGGTCTGCTTGCTTCCGGTTCAGGATTCTACGAAAGTACCCTATCACTCGTCCTCCTGTGTACGTAACTTGGGGTTACGCAGGCTCACACCCTCACGTAAGGTTACGTTTACGGTTACGTTCAAAATTTCTCGTGAACGCTACATCAACCTTCATTTACTGACAAGGAAGAAACCGCGTTTGCGAGAAGCTTTGCTCAACGTATCACCATGCAAGGGGTTACGAGGATCTGGGCCTGCGTAACGCTGCGTTTCGCAACGCAAGGAGAAAAATTTTCTTGTCTAGATCCTAGTATCTATCTAAAGCGGAACTCCAGAGCGAAACGTTATAGGGCACTCTAATCAATCTTGAAACGGGAGAAGACGGACAAATGCGCATGCTCAGAAGCTATTTTTACGGCTTGCAGTACAAACCTAACGGGCTACTAAGTACAGTAGTACACACTTATGAACGCATGCTTGGCGCCGTACAGTAACTCCATGCTACGCATAGTTATTTGTAAGTGTGCACTTGCAAAGCATGGTACTAGACAGTTAGGTTTGCAGTGTGTACTTCTGTTTTCCTTTTTCCGTTCTTTGAAGTAGTACCCTCTTGACGGACTTAATTTTTTTTCGTGCACCTTTACGTACATCTGAAATGGCAGCGCGGGCCTGAACTAGGAACCTTCGTCCTGAGCCGTTAACATCAGGGATGCATTGTACGCAGAATATGTAATTACGCTGACTTCAGGGGCAAGACAAGGTCCTACGCAATAGACGAAGGAAATTTCGCCACGCACAAATTAATGCATGCCTGACCTCCACTTGGATTCCACAGTTTCCCCTCTAAACGTCTGTTCCCGATCGCGTGGTATTTTCCGCTTCCGGGAAGGCTCGCATCTCCGAGCAGCTGTGAGCCGAGCGGATTAGTTTCGGGCACGGAGATATGTGGAGAGTGATTCCGGAGAGGTTTAATCCCGACCCGAACTACGCGAAACAAACACGAATAAAGGGAAGAAAATTCGACGTGAAACTCAAATGCTTTTTTGTCGAAATTTTTACTACATAGTCGCATTGCGACGGGGAGCGTTTCGTGGGGAGGTCACGGTCATCCGGGACTCCTCCGGATTCTAGACGCATTCTGAGCTATTAAGTGGTCTACCAGCACTCGAACTGTACGTGTGACCCCACCAATGGATTCCTCGTTTAGAGAGCAATCCATTGGTGGGGTGACACGCTCGGTTCGGGTCCCGTTTAAGCGATTCTGGAGCTCAAAACGCGTTTGCAGTTTCGGCCGCCTCCACCGGTCTTCTGGCCCACTGTGCGGTGATTGCCGAGTTGGGATTAGTATCGAGATTACAGTGGACCCCTTCTCTTGGAGCGGACGCTCTCTTTCCGGCTCTGGGGCAAAACGGGGAGGCGCCTCCTTTCATTCTGAGAAAACGGAAGAGGCAGCTGTGCGTGCAGTACACTCTCAGCCTCGAACTGACATTTTTTTGAGTTTTACAGTAGTGTGATGTTTCTCTCTGGCGTGTAGAGTTTCGTTTCGTTGGGGAGACGTAATATGTACCATTTTCTCTTAAGCCTTGCACGATTTTGTTCATTGTGTAGTTTTTGATTTGTAACATGAAAAATTTACAATTGAATCTATGATACGACCAAAGCCACGTACGGCTGAAGAGAAAATAGTGCATTTTACGTTATTTTATGTCTGCTCAAAAATTTATCACTCACCGGTGACGACGAAATTGTCATGACTTTTCCGGAAGCGACGGTAACATTTTGACTGTGTAAAATTGACTTTCAAAACGTCACGATTTCTCTGAAATACGGTTGTTTTTTGTGCGTAACTTAGGACGGAAGTGGGCGTTGTTGCGTACGTACGTATTCGTGCGCTTCACGCGCTTGCTCAGTTCTGAGAGAAAATTATGCACCAAAGAAGGGCGTGTCAATTTAGTGCACTGATAAAACCACACGTACTTGGGCCTTACAAAGAATAGCAGTTTGTTAACAAAGTATTCTGAGCATACATAAGCTTTCGAAAGAAAATACTTCGTCAATTAAAAACTAATTCCTTTTTTTTGTATCTGCAAAGCAGGTGGTAAGTTTGCTTGCCACAAAATTGGCAAGCCAGGGGGTATTTCCGGGCCAAGCTTGCCAATTTTTGGCATTCCAAACGGCTTGCCAATTTTGTGGCAAGCAAACTTACCACCGGCTTTGCAGTGATGATGTATGCCCAAAATACTTCGTAAGGTTTTGGGCGTGTGGGTGAAATTTTCCATGTTGCTTGTCTTGTTGAACCAATTTCTCCTTTCTGTTTCGCCAGGGGCGTGCCATGAAGTACCACAACGTGCGTCGGCGGTCACGTCGCCTTCAAGCCGCGCGGCCGGCCAAGCTGGGCGCTGCAGACGCTGCCGTCGCCGCGGGGAGCGCCGTGGCGGTGGACGCGCTCCCGGACGAGCTGCTGCTGCTCGTCTTCAGCAAGGTGGCGGACGGCAGGACGCTGCTGGACGCGCTGCCGCTGGTGTGCAAGCGGTGGTGCCGCGTGGCGCGCGACCCGGGCGCCTGGGCGGGCGTGGAGCTGTCGGTGGCGGACGACGTGGCCGACGACGCCCGCGTGCTGCTGCACGCCCGCGCCGCCAAGTCCCTCGTGGTGCACGCGTGGCCGGCGCGCTTCCCGCGGCTCGTCGAGGAGACGGCGACGGCCACCAAGCGGTACGCGGCGGGCGGCATGTACGGCCCGGAGGTGTGCGCCAAGGTGCGGTCCGCGCTGCGCCGCAGCCGCGCCGTGCTCACCGAGTCCGTCGTGATCCTGGAGGGCGGCTGGGGCATCGCCGGCGCGCCGCAGCCCGGGCCGGCCTCCGCCATCGCGGCCTTCTTGTCGCGGCAGCGCGACCTCCGCGAACTGCGGCTGTACCTCGGCTACGGCGAGGAGGCCGCCGTGCTGGCCGCAGTGGCCGCGCTGCGCCGCCTGCAGACGCTGCAGTTCACCACGGCGCCCAACATGCAGTACCGCGGCGCCCTGGCGGGAAAGCTGCCCGAGCTGCGGCGGCTGCAGCTCCACGCGCACTGCCCCCGCGACGGCCAGCAGCCCGACCTGCCCGCCGGTCTCATGGGCGACCTGGTGCGCGGCGCCAGGGCGCTCCGGGTGCTCGACGTGGACATGCCGACCGGAGCCGACCGCGCCGCGTGCGCCGCGCTGCGCGGCCTGCGGCACGTGGAGCTCAACGTGTACAAGGACGACCGCGGCCGCACCAAGCCGTTCGGGCACCCCGCCGTGCGCGCCCTGCGTGCCGCCTGCGCGCTGTGCGTGAAGATGCACTCCGCGGCGCTCCGCAGCGCCGTCTTCTCCCTGTGCCGCGGCGAGCACGGCCTCTACGGCGTGCAGTGGCAGCGCCAGCTCCGACGCGTGGTCGACGAGTTCTCCGCCAAGATGCCCCGCGTCGAGATGGAGCTGCTCGTCGACGGCCCCAACTGCGACGTCTGCGGCGAGTCCTGGGACTGCCCGGGACTCGAGTGGCCCCTGGACTGCGACCCCAACTGCGACTGTGCGTACGGCTACAGCGACAGCCTGAGCGAGGGCGAGACCGACGGCGAGGACAGCTGGGAGACGGACGAGTTGTTCAGCGATGGGGACTTGACACCATGACAGTCTACCAATAAATTTTAAACTATGATACAGTGGATTCGGCACAAGCATGATAGGGGTAGGTTGGGGAAGAAAAGTATGCAGGGTAAGAAAAGTACAACCCTTGTGGAGCTGATCTCTTGACTTTTAGCCATCCCTCGACCAGTGACTTCAACTTAACATGAAAATCGGAGTTTGAAAACACTGTTCAATAGGGTACTTTCGTAGATCCCTGAACCGGAAGCACACAGACGCCATGTTGTCGGAAGTAGATCCAAACTTGACATTGGAAAGAGGCGTTAGTCAAACGTATCGGCCACACTTGAACATAAATAGTCGTTTGATGCTTGCTTGCAGTGCATTTGTGTTTCGCGAGCAATATTTGTACAGCTCGGCTATAGTTTTAGATCCGAAGAGAGGTTAGTTTCCGACCAATGTGGCGTTTGCTGGTCTGCTTGCTTCCGGTTCAGGATCTACGAAAGTACCCTATAGACGTCATGGTTTAGAGCAGTAGGCCAGAAGAGGGGTGGACTTTTCTTACCCTGTACTTTTCTTCCCCAACCTACTTCGGAGGTTCCTTCGCTCTCTTCTGTATTCTCAGTGTACGAAGTGATCACAGACACGCAGCGTTTAAATATTAAAAATGGACCTTATATACACGCTGCGTGTATAAAATATATAAAGTCAACGCGCTGCGTGTATATAATATTGGTCGTCAGTAGTGTAAGATAGAAAGACCTTCGTATTATGGTTGTGCTATTTTCTTCGTATCATGGGAAATTTCTTCGGAAATTATTTGGAGCACTAAAAACAGTCTACGAAAATTTTGCCTCGTAACTAAGAAGGAAATCTAATTTTCTTCTTTTTTTAAGTGAGGGTGATTTGCTGGTGCCTGGGGGACCTCGCGGGCGAGGTAAGTCAGGAATGACGTGCAAGTCTGTTTCGCCCTTTAAGACGTAATTTTTATGCTTTCGTTTTACCAGTGTAGGGCATGGTTTTAATGCCTTTGATATACCACTGAATCTACACACAAAATCTATGTGTGTACTCAGTACACACTTTAAGGTGCGTGCTTACAAGCATGCACTTCGAGGTGTGTACTTGCCTAAGCACGCACCTAGAAGTGTGTACTTGAATGAGTACACACTTTAAAGTGTGTACTTGAATGAGTACACACTTTAAAGTGTGTACTCGGTGAGTACACACATAGAAGTGCATGCATTTCGATGCATTTTCCCTATGCCGCGCATGCACCTCGCAAGTGTGTACTCATTCAAGTACACACTTCTAGGTGCGTGCTTAGGCAAGTACACACCTCGAAGTGCATGCTTGTAAGCACGCACCTAGAAGTGTGTACTGAGTACACACATAGATTTTGTGTGTAATCTTTGTCATTTCGATGGCACCTCAGGCTCAGCTCAGCTGAACTGAGACGATTTAAGAACCGAACAGTGGGTTTATGTGGGGAAGTTCACCTGATAGTATGAACTATGGTATACTTTGCGTCGATATAATTTGGTGATTTAGTCTTCTGTGTTGACAAACTGTATTCTCCTTCGTGAAACTATCATGTGGGTCAAAACTTGAATTAGTTTACTTCGATGATTTTAGTTTCATAGCATGTGTATTCCAATTTATTTTTAATATATTTATTTAAGTGTGAAGGTATTATTTAAGGGTTCATGTGTAGCTTGTATTTAGTCATGAAATATAAAGGCAGACGTACAAGCAGTAATGTGTTTTGAACCGAACCTTAACTACATACAATGTTATTGTGGGAATGACATTTCCTGTTTCGTCACAAACAATGCTAAGGACTTGAAGGGGGCACCGCCTGGTGAAAAACAAGGCCAAAATTGCCAAAAATAGTATTTTCAAAGCTCTTAGCAAAAAATTATACACAGATGGTTTCAGATTCAGGGGGTTCAACCTTTAAGCTATGTAGATACTAGTTTCTTTATCATTTGGACAGAAATGACATAAAGATCAGTTGACGTTGGTTTACACGCTCAACTTCACTGCTTTACTCAGTCGACAAAACATTTTGTCGTAGAAAGACTTTATGCACTTCTGGTTGACACATACATGAGTCGAGACTAGTCGACAAATTTCAGTGAAAATTTCTCACTTTGAGCCCTACTTTTGTCGACAAGCACAAAAAAGTTTGGG